GCATTGTTGAAGCCTTCTTTTACTTATTTGTTAAACTTTTTCTTTTTCATTGAACAGATTAGCAATTTGTTAAATCTTATGTGCAGGGGTGAGGGGCTAAAATTGAGGTTAGACTCTTAATGTCACTTCAATTGAATGACCTTATATCTTCAGAATTTTTGTGCATTTGTCCTATAAGCTCGTTGCAGATAAATATCCTTTTTAGTAATCTTGTATGACTAGGGATATGGTTAAGACAGTAATAATTTTATATAACACAAAAACTCTGGCCTAGGCATCTTTTGCTTCTCTTTTGGATTGACAACTTAATATCAGCTATGACATATACAATTTTATTCTTTTTTAGGGGGGTGGGGTTGGCGAAGTTGGGTGAAGAATACTTAGCTGTCCGCTTAATTTTTTCCTTTATAAGTAATATTCAGTTTGTTTTCATTTTGAACTCTTCATAAAAAGTAATATTTGCTCCAGGGCATTTTTCAATTCTTCTGTGTAAAAGATAATACAAGCTATACGTCATGGTTAAAAAATTTATGGTTTGATTAGTTTCTGAAAATTTCATATCTGGTATTTCATGTCACAAATTCTGATACTATTGGAAATTTGTGTCTCTGTATTATGCGATTGGTAAAGGGGATATTTTTGGATTATAGACATGTCAATCCTCTTTCTGTTATTGTTTAAGCATCATCGCCATTGTGAAATTTTGGCATATCTCAATTTCAACAAAATGGTGGTTCTTTTATGTAAGAGCGGCATCTTATCTTTAAAATAATTACATGTTCTTGTTGTCAGCAAGCTTATATTAGAAACACCAATATATAAGATTTAAGTAAACTCTTTAAGTAGCCTTGTTAGCATATCTCAGACTAATGCTAATCTTTGATGGTAACAGGAAATTATGTTAGTCAAGTCTTAAGATCTTATTGAGTTTCTTACCAACTTCTGGTTTCCATTGTATGTGCAACCTTTTTCTTCTGCATTCGATTGTCTTGATAAATTATACCTGGATTACTATTAGAATTTTCTAATTTCTTTCTCTCTTTTGATCCTTTGCTATTTTTTTTAATATAGGAAGGATAAAGTTCTCCAACAACAGAAAAACAAAGTCAACCACAGACTTGGAGGAGTTTGAAGGCAAAGGAATAGTTTGGAAACATTTTATATTATTTTTTGGGCCATTTATATATACAAAGAAAATGTATTATAATGTATATTAGAATACTTTATGTTGTTTGATTTTTTAGCAATGAAAAGTTCTTATATATTTCTATTTCTCATAATTGCCTTATTTACTATGAATTATTTTTTATTTTATGATAATTGCAATTGACGTGAATCATGATAATTTATAGGGACAATTTTATTTTGTCAGTAAAAGCGATGTTTTTAGTGATGAAATGATTGTCTTAGCTACAAAATTTTAAGCCAATTTTATTAAAGCAAATTTGTCACTAATTTTTATATTTAGGGACGAAATATCTTTTTGTGTGTATGATAGGTAATTTTTAGTGACAAAATTACATTTGTTCAACTACGAAATACATATAACTTTAGAGACAATTAATGTTGTCACTAATTAAACTAAATAGTTAGTGACGAGGTAGTTTTGCCGCTATTAATTGCCTATTTAATGACGAAAATGTACTATCAACTACAAAAATTTTATACTTTTTATGACAAATAAGTTCGTCACAAATATTATACGTTTGGGGACAAAAATCAATTTTGTAGTTAAAATAACTTTATTTAGTGACGAATCACTAAGTTGTCTTTGTATACCTTTAGTGACGCACATTTAAGGACGAATGATTGACGATTTTTTTTTCGTCAAGAAAAATTTTTTGTGACGAAATATTAATTTTAGGTGACAAAATAATTTGTCACTGATAATTGAATTTGTTGTAGTGTCATTGTTCTCTAAAGATTTTGGTGTAGAACGAAGCAATTTTCTCCAAAGGTAATATTAGCTCTCTCTATCGTTTTTGTTTTTCGTAATTGAGTAAGTTCCCGTTTTTGTAATTGAGTAATGCATGTCTATGAATTAGAGAGAAACACAATGACACATTAACTTTTATTTTTATTGTTTTTTGTGTCGTACTTCTTTGTTTTTCGGCGTAGTTTTTACTTTTACATATCAAAGTCTTTTACATTGACATAGTATTATATTTAAATTGTATATCTTTAGAGATTAATGGTTTGTGTTATTTCAACTAATGTTAGTGTAACAATATTAAATTTTAGCTATTACATAATATTTTGCAGCTTTTACTTATATATTGCAGGTATTTCGCGCAGTGTAATGAAATCGGATTTGGAAAAAAAATGTGTCATAATAAATAACCTTAAACTTTATGATGTTGAATGGGTAATTAAGGTATTGGTTATTCGAAGAGGACCAATAACAAAATATAAGAATGACAAAGGAGAGGGTTTGCGTTGGCATTTAACATTTGTTGACGATGAGGTAGGCTTCTTTTGTATATTTATTTTGATATAGTATATTACTTATTTGTGTTATTTTTAATTAATCTAAAATAATTTTTATATTAATTTATAGGGGACAAAGAATGAGGCAGTACTGTTCAATAAAAATGTTGAAGACCATTACTTATTAAATTTTAACCAGCAAGCATGGAAGTTTGGAGAATAAGTTTTTTTTTCTTGGTCAACCATAACTCTTCATCCTATTATTTATTATGTGCTCTTGTTACTTTATCTTGATAAATCCTTTTTTTTACTATAACTCTGAATCCTAATGTTAGTTATGTCCCCTTTATATATAAAGTTTGCAGCCTATCGTCCATCAAATATTTGGGTTATAAACTCGAGAAATATTATAATACAACTTCATATTCATACTCACAATTATGTCATGCATAAAAACTGGATTACAAAAAAAGGTAACAGAATCTCTATAAAATTAATCGAACAAACAAAACTTGATTCGCTAACCACCAGCAATATAGGACTATTATTGATTCATAAGGCTTTTTTCTTTTTTAAATTACTTTGGAACTTAATTATTTGTTGAGAAAAAGGGGGAAAATGCTTTGTAGTATGACATTCCATAATTAGAAAATCATTTAGAAATATAGAGTGAAAGCAACAAATATCTAAGTAAATTTAATTTAATATTTTGTTTTTGAAGGTTCGAATAATATTTAATTCATTTAAATTTAATAGGTCTACATGCAAGTAAATTTATCATTGTTATACAAAATTTAAATCAATTGACAAGGGATATACGTGCAACGCACGTACATAGATACTAGTAAATATTATTATACATATAATATATGTTATTATTCTATCAATGATTATTAATGTGTAATATGAACAATTAATTATTATTGTTATTAATGATAGGTAAATCTTTAATCAACCATAATCATGTATTTAATCCAAATATAGCTTTAGAATTTTTATCTCAACGTCATAGGATAATTGCTCGCCAAAATTACCTTAAACTCGTAGCTCAAAGTCTCAATATTAAGTTAAAATATGAATGTTATATATATATAATTTGTTTATTGCAATTACGAGGCCCTTGCCGCAATCTTGGGCGCAAATCAAATCTAGCTTTATCGCAGTTGTGAATACCTTTCTGCCATTGAGTTTTTTCTAGAGAATTTTTCATAAAGCACCATCTTTTAGATCTAATTAGCCATTTATAGATACCCTTTGCTATATTACGTGTTATAGATACCTTTTATGTTTTTATACAATGTATTTCATGTATTTAAGCTGTTGTATTCATTAATACAACCAAAGAAATAGGCGTAAAAAGTGGAATTCCAGCTAAGTTTGACATGTATTTAGCTGTATTCAACCGGAATTAACGTTAAATACAGTAACGTATCTGCGCAAAATCTGGAAGGTTAAACTAGTTAAAAACGGAAGGAAATCAAATCACATGATATTCTCCTAATTTAATTCATTAAATTGGTTAAAAACGGAAGGAAATCAAATCACTGCTTAGACCGTGTCTACTGCTAAAAGAAGCCATCACCTTTCTCCTTCCTCCTCCTCCTTCAATATGACTTTATTCTCCATAAATCCACGTGAGGTTACGAAAATGGCAGAGGATTCATATGAAGACGCCATTGCAGGACTGAAAAAGCTCCTCAGCGAGAAGAATGAGCTGGAAGATGCAGCGGTCGCAAAGATACGGCAGTTGACAGCGGAGTTGGAAGGTGCCGGCGGGAAAAAGTCTGACCCGGATGAGAAGATCCGAACAAAACACTTGAATACAATAAAATACAACTGAATACAGCTGAATAAAACTCTTGAATGCAACAAAATACACAAAATACAACTAACTTCTGCTGAATAAAATAGTTGAATATAACTAACTACAATTGAATACAGTTGTATAAAACACTTGAATACAACTAACTACTGCCGAATAAAATAGTTAAATACAACTGATTAAGACTGAATATAAGAGAATACGCATAACTCTTTAATACATCTAAAATATATAAATGAATGCTGCTGAATACATGTGAATACAGCTGAAAAGACTAAAAAGGAGAGAGAAAAATATTATTTAGCATATATGATGCCTTAAATGTAGGATGTAACTATAATTAGATATTTGGCTATAAAGTATAAAAGGTATCTATAGGATGTAATATTTTAAAATGGTATTTATTTAAAATAAATAGGGTACTAAGGTTTTCTATAGGGCGTAAAAATCTCTTTTTTCTATCACATTTTACTGCTTCTTTTTCCACAAAATCTAAATGAGTAGAAATAACAGAATTTCATTAATGGAAAATAAGGAAATTCTATAAACCTTAGTAAATACTTATATAAAAAATTTTGTCACCTAATTGTTAGATCATGCAGCCTCACTAGTCTTCTCTGAGTCGAAGAATCAAAAATTCGTCGCTCGTACTTTACTCCTACACTTCAGATTTCTTATTTAGGAGTTCTTCTCAGTGTTTTTTTTTAAAAAAAAAAATTGTGCAAGAAAACCTTGTAGCTAAAAGAAAAGATTTATAAACATAAGTAATGAAATATGTATTTTGAAAGAAAACAGAGAGCATCTCATGAAAGTTTTCTGAGGGATAATTTTTTGTTTATAAATACACTACAAAATTCATCCTTTCCATCAACAAGATTGCAACTACTGTAGCAACTCAAGTATATGAAGATTTTGTGCCTTCTTCAAAGTTGGTTCAAGAAGAACACTCTGACACTCTTCACCTTAATATTGAAGCGTTGGCATGAGGACTCACTTCAACTTGCTGGGAATTATTGTCGTTGTCGTTGATTATCTGTTCCCCTCCTCCAAAACATGCATGCAATACATTGTCCTTTTCGTAGACAATACATTTGCAAACCTGAAGAAGCCAAGGAGAGTGATGAAAATGACTCTTGTTGCTCTGAGTTTCACACAGTGAAACTGAAACTGAATCATCTGATGATGCGAAGATGATGAAAAAATTGGAAATGCTAGTAGTTTGGCTGCAAACCTGAAGAAGCCATGGAAAGTGATGAAAATGAATCTTGTTGCTATGTTGGTTATTGGTATCGGCCTCTATGTCGCCAACGTGATGAAGCCTGCAAACAAAGCTGAAGAATGAGAATAGTCTTTCTTGGAGGAGTACATATGTGATATGTGTGTGTGAGGTATGTCTGTGTGTTAAATTGGACTAGATCAACAGGAGAAGAGGATGAATGTCCATGCCAGAAGTCATACTTTCTTCACCTAATCCTGAAGAAAACAGCATCTACAACTAAACAGAATGAAGACAATACCTAAGGGGCAAAAGAAAATCCCCTGCTAAGTTCGTAATAATACTTCTTAACTTCCACAAAATAAAATATACAAATACTTCAAACAGACGGCGGTAGCTATAAACATCCTAGATTCAATTCAGCCTTTGTGTTTAAGAAGACGGCAAACGTAACTAGTGCCTTTACTGTCATACATAATTGGCTACGCTTCTCATTGGGGTATTTCAAGCTAAGAGCAAACCACTTATCTTCACACATAGGAAACACAGTAGTACCTGCAGGGAAGACCTCATCTGGAATGGATTTGTACACTCCGACCCTGTTGCAAAGGAGGTAACTTGTGGTTTCTATAGACTTTGTCGCTCTAGAATTTGCATTCGAGATGGTAGATGAATCATCGGATGGTTTCATTTCAGCTAGTGATATAGTTTCTCGAGGAAAATAGCACAATGATTCCACTGAAGGAGATTTCTTATTTCCAATGAGCTCTTGCATGCCCTGCAAAATTGAAGACGCATTAATCTTTTCAGCCCTCATGGACTGTGGAGATGTATGTTTAGAGTGAGCCATCTCATCTTCATCTTCTGAAGGCATGAATACTTATTTGCATCAGAACCAGTAACAATAAGCCAAGGGCAGTAGTCGGAAAGACGATGAGACAGACCGCTTAATTTTTCTTGATCACCAGAAATGGACAGTGAATCCATGCAAGGTTCAGTTTTGAAAATTTCACCTTCCAAGTCCGAAGACACAGCTGAAGGATCACCGGTATAGAAGGATTTGCCTGAAACTGCAATAGATGTCAACATACTGTAGGAAAGTAAACTTTTTGATAGAGCTGCATAAAATATACTAATAGTTTTCTTTTTGGTAAAGTAATGATTTTATTTGATATTCTTTGGGCACAAAAAACTCCCGTATACAAGAAGTATACTTAAAATTCATTGCTTATTCATCTGATGACAAACAACTATCAGCCTGAACAAAGTACCATTAGTATTTATTTGGCTCAAAAGTAAAGAAAGCAGAAAAAGAATACTTACATTTTAGGTTGTGAGGCTCAGTGATCCTGATTGTTTTATATCAGGTAAGCAAAGTTCTTCATCTTGTCCCAGTTTTTGCAGGAAACTCTTGTAACTGCTGGTATTGCTCTGGGCCAAAAAGAGTTTTACCTTTTGAAAGGCAACTGTTACCAGTGTCATTAATGCAAGCTGTGCTACAGCATCTTCTGCAGCCGCTGTCACTGTTGCCTCGAAATAAAGATCATGAAATGAACTCTTTCTTTTACTATGGTACAGAGATAGACCAAGTTTATTCTTTTGTTACATCTGCAGCTTCCACTTGCACTGATAATGAGTAATCTTCTGTAACAAAACAGTCATAGT